GATAGATTATGGGAATGATTGGAAATTTATAACCGAACAAAAATCTTAATCTTTATTAGATAATTTAAACAGTTTGCAAAATCATTTACAATCAGCTCCAATTAAATATAAAGATGCATTATCAATAACATGTGTTCTTGGATTTAATTGTAAAGAAAACATAGAATGGCTCTGGGGATATGTTAATAATACATATTCAAACTTATTTGAACATGCTAAAAAATTATTTAACGCAAAAAAAAAATGTATTACAATGATTAATTCAGCTAAACATAAGGCACGTAAACTAGAAAGTAGTGAAGACATCCAAGCTGGGCTTCCAATAAAAGCTGAAGGCTAGAATACTTCTAGTTCAGTTACTCAAGCATTAGGAATTCAACTTCAAGAAGTACGCAATGAATTAAAAAATACTAAAAAAAAATTACATCGATCATTAGAAACTATTCAGAAACTAAATGCAGAGTTATGTTCTAATTTAGATTCTGAAAGGTAAATTATATAATTATTATACATAAAGTATATTGAATACTACATATAAAAACTCAATAATTTTATATAGTGAAGGAACTATCAGCGATGAAAATAACGAAAATTCTAATCTTTCTTCTACTAATACAATTCAATTAATGGTTAACAACTTAATTAAAAATAGAAAATTAGAATCAACAATATTCGTAAATACAGATATATATTTAACATTAATACTAAACCAACCATGTTCTATTTGTTATACTGCTGAAATTACTAATAAAAAGCCCTCAATAACAGTAAATGGATTAGGAATTAAAATTATAATTAAATGTCTAAATTGTAAAGCAACAACGGAACATAGTAATGAATCACCTGAAATAGATTTTTTAACAAGTATAGCTGTAGCAGAATTAGTTGGTGGTGTAAATCGTGAAGAATGGCGATCTATGCTTGTATTAGTTGGAATTACACGACAAAGTGATAAATCACAATACTTTGCTAAGCAAGATAAACTTTTTGATGGCTTAAAAAATGAAGCAGTTAATTCAACTCAAAAAGCATTACATAAAGTTCTTGATAAATTAATTGAAAACAAACAATTTAATTTAGAAGTTAGTTTTGATTACCAATAGAGTCATGTTTGTGAGGCATCAGCAGCTAGTGGTAAATTTATATATAACAGATTTTTAAATAGTAATTAAATATAAAATATATAGTAAATTAAAATAAATAACTAAAATAATTTTTACTTACTATTAGAAAATGATCATAAACCTATTATTGGTTTTCATGTTGCAGAAAAATCTAGAAAATATCAAAAAACTGATAGACAAGTAGTTATGATTAATGAAGGCAACTATAATGGTAGTTCTAGTACTATGAAACATTTAATATTAATTACTATTATTGAACAAATATCACTGGTATTCAAAACTTCGGAAATTGTTTTAGATGTCGGTATTGATGGAGATTTAAATAGTAATAGAACACTTGGCGCTCAAAAAATCGTTCATAAAATTTGTGCCGATTTAAAGCATAAAGCAAAAAATGTTAGAGCAAAAATAGGTAATAATTTTTTTAATTTATAGAAATTATACGTATAATAAATAAATTTTTATATAAATACCTTTTATAAAAATTAGCCAAAAATAATAAATGAAAACATCTTGAATCACCAATTATGAAATATTACGTTCAATGTGTATATGCAGCAACTGCACGTGCTAATGATCCTAATTTACCAACTCCAACCGAACAAGATCTGTTTAAAATGCAAACTGAAAGCGTAATAGCACATTTGCAAAATAATCATAATGATTGTTGGAATGAAGTTTGTTGGTTTACAGAAAATTCTGATATGATACTTCCTGAACCAAATTTAATACTATATACTAAAAGTCAATGTGAAGCTTTGTTAAAAGACTTAAAACAATATATGAAATTAACAGGACAAGGATTAATAACTACAATTCGAACAAGTGCAAATGAAGCAGTAAATCGTATTAAATTAAATTATATAGATAAAAAAACTGATTACTCTAAATCTTTTTCTGCTAAACATGCTCTTGCAGTTCTTCATAATAATGATAGACTTTTAACTTTGTTAGAAACCGTTCAAAAGGTGGCTAAATTACCTGAATTTTCTGAACAAGACATAGTTAATATTATAAAAATATGGAAAAACAGAAATGATAAATGACAATTAAATATTTGTACAATAAATGAATGAAATAAATCTAGATCAAACAAATTTGAAGAACAAAAAAAATGATTAGAAGGATTTGATTATGATAAGGTATGTTTTAAAATTGTTATTTTAATAATTCAATCTTATCTTTAACTTTTATATGATACAATTAATTGTGATAAATTATTACAATTATTATATTAATAATTAAATATAATAATATAATTATAAAAACTTCTCACAATTAACTGCGATACTATAAAAGTTGGTTATGAAAACCCAATATTTTATTATTTAATTGTAATAAATCTAAGGTTTTAGATCTGAATCCTAATTAATAAAATAATAAATATTAAATTATATTAATTAATTTATATACTAGGATTTGCTTCCTTATAAATAGGAGTAAATGATAAAATGTTAGAACGAAAATTTCATCCTACTTTTGTATCATTAATTCGAGATTTTAATATTTTTGTTAAATCAATGGGTGCTTATCTTTTCCAATAAAATATCCTGTCGGTTTATATTCTATTTGTAGATTTTGGGCAAAATATGATATGAATATTTATATACCAATTCAACCTGATAATAATATATCCTTGGCCAAATCTTCAGATACAGATATTTTAGAGGCGGCACTTAAAAATATTTTTAATTTGTCAGAATATCGAGAATATCAAAGAGAAAATATTGAATCTTTTATTAATAGGCATAATACACTTACGATTTTAAAAACTGGAGGTGGAAAAACATTAATATATTCTATTGTGTCTCTTTTATTCAAAGGATTAACCATTGTTTTTACACCACTAAAGTCTTTAATGGATGATCAGCTGGCAAGTATATATAACATTATAATTAAAATACACTATAGCGTAATTGATATTACTTTAGAATTTATTTGATGTCTACTAAAAAAAAAA